AAGGGGGAATTAAAATAAAGAATTGAGCATTGATCCTACCTTCCCTGTAAAAAACCATATAGGGCAACCAAATAGCCCCCAAAAATGATAGGAAAGGTTCTTTTTTTTTTTATGAAAGAAGTGCAACAAATAAAAAATAAATAACAAAATTTTTAAAAATCACCATTTTTTGCAAGCTCATCAATGGGTGGATCCATTAGATGAAAGGATGACGGGAATTTTACAGTGGAAAAATCAGATTGTTACTATGTAAGCCCCTGAACAATCTTAGCATCCCCAAGAGTAAGTCAACTAGACATTCTGTGCCTCCCAATGTCACTATGTTAAATATACATTACCACCTATGAAGTATTTTGCCAAAAATACTTGAATCTGAATTTAGCAATAACTTCCAGTTTAAAGAAAATGTAGGAGATAGATGTACTTCTTTAGGACAACTGGCTAGTTTCTTCAACAAGTTAATGGCATAAAAAAAAAAAAAGGAGAGAGGACAGGAGGAAGATTCCTCCAGTTTATAAGAAATATACATAACTACTCCCAGATAAATCAGTTTAAAAAAATGATGAATCTATCTACATATCAATTACAAAGCAAACATTACTGTCTATCCAAGATGGTATGAGGAACTCTTTTGCAGAGATAAGCAAACACTCTGTTTTGAGTGACAATGCGCTCTTCATCCTCCTTTGTTAATCTATAGATATCCTTTTGCAAAGAAGCAATAGTTTCTTCTTGCTCCATTCGTTTTTTCTTATAATGCTGACATTTTGCCTATAAGAAATTTTTCAAAAAACATAATTATGATATGTACATTTAGGACACGATATCCTAGCAATATTGTATGCAAAGCCATCTTCACAGTTTCTATCAACCTGCTTCATTCAAGAACTTCAGTGTTGAGGCTGTTTTTAAATGGATGCTAGCTCCAGGAACATTAATATGTCATAAATTCTAAACTGTAACAAGTAAAACAGGTATAAAGTAGAGAAAATATAGTTTATAATTGCAGGCATTCAGCATTTCATAATAGTAAAGGAACCCGAGAATCTCTATAAAACTAAAAAAGGAAAGCCATGGGAGAGTTTTGAGCTACTATGTTGACAGCACACTGAAAAAGGCAAGGGTAGAAGCAGTGAGACCGAGAAGCAGGAGAGAAATGAAGGTGACTTGGACCAACATGTAGACTAAAAGAAAGTTTGAAGAGGAAATTTAGGAACTCAGTTTTAGACATGAAAAGTTCTAAAAGCCTATTAGACACCCAGAGGAGATACCAAGTAGGCAGTGGGATATGAGTCTGGAATTAAGAGGTCTGGACTAAAGGTTTAAATTAGGTGCTATGAATTAGACTGAGCATCACCAAGGGAGTTAAGAGTATATAGGAAAGAGGCAAGGTCTAAGGAACTAGTACTAAGGAATCCCAACTCTGAGAGGTTAGAGAGATGAGAAGAACCAGCAAAGGAGTTGAATAATGACCAATGGGGTTAGAGAGAAATCAAAAGGGGATATTCTAGGGCTGGCCGAGTGGCTCAGTTGGTTAAGAGCTGGCTTGGGAGCATGAGCTCTGAGGAGCAGGGCCACTGGTTCAGTTCCCACATGGGCCAGTGATGCTGCGCCCTCTACAGCTAAGATGGTGAACAACAGCTCGACCTGGAGCTGGGCTGCCGTGAGTGGCCAGCGACGGCGTAGG